CAATGTCACCTTTGTGTCACCTCTGTGTCACCCCTGTGTCACCCCAGTGTCACCCCCTGAACGCCCTCAAGCCGCAGGGACCAGGCTGGGGACAGGGACAATGTGTCACCTCAGTGTCACCTCAATGTCACCCTGAGTGTCACCTCAATGTCACCTGTGTCACCCCAGTGTCACCTCAATGTCACCCCTGTGTCACCTCTGTGTCACCTCAATGTCACCCTGAGTGTCACCCACCCCATCAGTGTCACCTCCTGTCACCCCTGTGTCACCCCAGTGTCACCCTCCAGCTGCAGGCACCAGGCTGGGGACAGCGATGACGTCACCCCTGGTGTCACCCTGGTGTCACCCTGGTGTCACGCCCCCAGCCCCCCAAGGTCCCGGGTGATGTCGCCGGTGATGTCCCCAATGTCCCTGGTGATGGCTCCAGTGTCCCCAATGTCCCCAGTGCCATCCCCAGTGTCCCCAATTCCATCCCCGGTGTCCCCAGTGATGTCCCCAGTGTCCCCAATCTCCCAGTGATGTCCCCAGTGGTGTCCCCAGTGCCACCCCCAGTGTCCCCAGTGTCCCCAGTGCCATCCCCGGTGTCCCCGGTGTCCCCAGTGCCATCCCCAGTGCTGTCCCCAGTGTCCCCAATGTCCCCAGTGTCCCCAGTGCCATTCCTGGTGTCCCCAGTGATGTCCCCAATGCCACCCCCAGTGTCCCCAGTGCCACCCCTGGTGTCCCCAGTGTCCCCAGTGCTGTCCCCGGTGTCTCCAGTGCCGTCCCCGGTGTCCCCAGTGCCACCCCCAGTGTCCCCAGTGCTGTCCCCGGTGTCCCCAGTGCTGTCCCCGGTGTCCCCGGTGTCCCCAGTGCTGTCCCCGGTGTCCCCGGTGTCCCCAGTGCCACCCCCGGTGTCCCCGGTGTCCCCTCACCGATGCCCAGCTGTCTCTCGGAGCACCCCAACTTCTGGGCCAGCGTCTGCAGCTCCCCCGGAGCCACCGGGCAGCGGGGCCGGCCCTGGGGACACAGCGGGGACATCGGGGGGGGTTGGGGACACTTGGGGACATTTGGGGACACCGGGGACATTGGGGGACCCCCGGGTGACCGGGGGCTACCTTGGCCGGGGCGTTTCCGGGGGTCTCCTCATCCAGGGGGGGCCCGGGGGCCAGCGGGGACCAGGTGACAGCGCCCAGACCTGGGGACATCGGGGGGGGTGACCTGGGAACCCCCGACCCCGCCCGGACCCCCAAATC